TAAAGTTATGGATGTTAAATTAAATAGAGAGAAACTTATATTTGGAATACCCACTTTGACATTTAAAGACAAAGGTTCCTATATTGAATCAAGTACCAAAGAATATGACATGTTAGCATTTAGATATCTAAGTTGGGCTTGCTTCCCTCTGCTCATTGGTTATGGTGTATATTCACTGTTGTATCAAGAACACAAGGGATGGTACTCGTTCGTTCTGAACATGATGTATGGATATCTCTTGACATTTGGTTTTATTATGATGACACCACAGCTGTTTATCAATTACAAATTAAAGTCTGTGGCACATTTGCCATGGCGTATGATGACTTACAAATTCCTGAATACATTCATTGATGATATATTTGCATTTGTTATCAAAATGCCAACTATGTACCGTTTGGGCTGCTTCAGAGATGGTAAGTGTATTTTTATAAAAAAGAGAAATGAAAATTGTTCACTTTTTTTCAATGCATACCAAAATCCTCTGTTCCATGGTATACTTAGTAATAGAGTGGTCATAAGTACTCTCCAATACACTAGTTGTTGCTTGCCCCCTTGACTTTGTCTCCTTGATATTAAAAACAAAATATATGGCCTATGTCACTCACTGATAACATAGCTTTTTTAATAGGAAATATTTTTTTTAAATTGGCCACTTGGCTACTTAGTTTTTGTGTTATTCCAATTCATACAAAAATACAAGTCTTCCTCTTTCTAATTAATATAGATTAAGATCTCTTGACTGTTGCACATAAGTCAGAGTCTCACATTATTACATCTAAGGGTGTTTTGTTGAATGCCCAGATTTGATCAAATTGCATGAAATTAGTTGCAAGATTTCACAGTCTAGAGTTTGTTATATGTTAAGTCATATTCTTTATTTTCAGATATTGTGTTCTTCATTTTCTTATACCAGCGCTGGATTTACAAGGTCGACCACAAGAGAGTCAATGAATTTGGCTTTTCTGGAGAAATGGAGCAGCAAAAGAACGAATCTGGAAATGGTAATTTGGCGATTTCCGAAGGTGAAACTCAACAACCCGGTGACAAGAAGAATGATTAAATAGTGCTTGTTTCTGATAGTTAGTTAAAATTATAAAAACATGTAACTACTTACTAGAAGTAGTATATTTTGTCTTTTAAATTATATTGTTGTAATGCCGTGTGCATCAGGTACATGCATCGTTGGTTGTTGCAACTGACCTCCACATAATCTGTATTAAACCTTAATAAAATGTTGTGTAATTTAATTTTAATGTAATGCTGTTTTGATTTTGTAATAATGTATTTAAAGATATCAAATAGTTGACGATTTATAGGCATTTCAGCAATCTTTTTGACTTGCATGTTTAAAGTACAGACATGTGAGTAATTCAAACTAAATAAAATGATCCAAAGATGCATTATTTACTATTTATTTAAGCTTTATTCACAGAATCAGAGCTAATTTTTAAAGTGTTATTAAATAACCAATTCATCACTTTGGTTACATCTATACATACTTCATTATTTTTCACAGGTTGTATTCAACTTTTGTTAGCATACATAAACTCAGTAAATAACATTTTAAATTACATATTTCAAATTTGGAACCATTACAAATATTCATATTTTTTTAAATAGACATGCTAGCCACCATTAACAATCATTTTAAACGAATTTAATAGATTTTTTTTAATTCTCAATTTTAACTACTCATAATTCTAGATTTTTACCATTTATTTCCTTCTCATTGCTCAATATTGAATATCTTATTAATTGTATTATTTAAATTTAGCTAATTAAATTAGTACGTAGTTACTATTGGGGGATTTATGGTGAAGGGACAGACTAAGGGCTCGAGATTTTTTCCAAAAAAATTATCAGATTTCTTTAGAAAACAAAGTAATTGAGCATATGATAAATAATTACACAGACTATTTTTCGTGTTCTAAGATATTTGCGATTTTTTGAAGGTTCAGTTTCATTTTGATCTAAGTGTAGTCGCCGTCTATACCCAACGACGTTTCACATTTCTTAAAAATATTTTGAATTTCATAGTAAATTGTACAGTTACCATTACCGTTTCTACTTTCAATGTACAAAAACATATTAAAATTGTCATTATAATTAAAATAATTCTTATTTTCTTTCAAATCATTGTGGATATTTGGTATCTTCATATCTCTATTTCCTATTTAACACTCATGGTAGTTACAGTGTAGTGCCGGTTATGAATATTTGTTATACTAAGCACTTTATATGGTGGAAAGTATTATTATTTATGTAATTTTAAATATTTTGAGATAGTAAAATTTTATTTGTGATTTATGTATGTTAAAATGTAGTTAAATAATGCTGTTAAGTATACCTTGAATAATGGTCATGGTCATGTGATTTATAAATGCTTTGAATGGACTTTAATTATTTAATTACCATATATTAGCTAAATAAAAAAATAGTTTAACTTCATTTTTATTGAATAAATAGCTAAATCTTATTTTTCAATGTCAATAGTAATGGCGAGTTGTAGTTTTGTTTTGCAGCTTTTTAAGAATAACATACTTGTTATACTATTAAAGACAAAATTGTTTTATTTATAATTAGAAGAATATTATCTGTTTTCATACTATTGTTGTGTATTTTAATATTTTTCGATCTATTCCTGTGTATTTAGTGTTTGTGATTTTGTCGTTACGTATGTAATGTTATTTACTTCGTTATACTGCACAATGAATGTCATGCGAGTACATATTTAACTTTAAACTATATTTTAATCAAAGTAGCGTGTTTAAATTAAATGTAATATCAATAAAGTGTTGTGTCTGTACATACGCTTTTTCATTTCAGATGTATGTTGTGAGTTTTGGAGTAACATATATCAATGAGTACATTTTAGAATAGGGGTAATAGGTTATTTAAACGATGAGGAAAAGATATGAATAGAGCAATGAAACAATAATATATTTACAGTCGTTTATTTATGCACAGTGCATTCTACAGCATTTTGCAGTGAACAATAAATAAACAAATGTTCTAAAACACTTTATACGTGCATTTACGCCACTACGTTAGTTTTTATAATCTATGGTCATTTTATATGGCATTTTATTTTTAATCAATAACTAATTGATATTATAATCGATCAAATCACATGTATTCATTTGTTGTAAAAATTTAATTGTATATTAAATGCAATTAAAACTATGGTACTTAGTATAACAGAAAGGTTTTTTTGTAGGTGAATCGTGAATTGGTATATAATAAAATAAAAAACAAAAAATATCACCCAAACCAAACACGAAATACGTTATATTCAGTCTATCTCAAATTTGTGATCACCTATACTATTGCATTATTAATATAGTTGGGCCAGAGTGTTAACATATTAACAAAGATATAACAATAAATCTGGTTCTACGAACCACAATAATTACTTGCAAACAAGAAAACTCAAATTGTATTGCGATATGTACAGGCGGTCACAGTTACAAAATATCAGTAAATTTTTCAATGAATTTACTAATATTTCTTAACTATTCCGCCGAGATTAAGCTCGGGGTAGAAGATAGTTTACGCTAATAAGCGAATTTGAACCTCATTATTGAATCTTTATATGTCTCAGACAATAACATCACGCACGTCGTCTAGGGGAGCAGACAGAGATGTTCGTTTTATCTTAATAACATTATAATGAATATTAACGCAATATTTTACAAAGTTACATCAAATCATGAATGAAAGAATGTAGAAGTGAGTCCGCGATTTCAGCATCGCCCGACGACATTCCGAACTGCGTCGGCGGCCTCCGGGCTTCTGCATCCTGGTGAAATCAAATTCACAAATACAATATCTGTTAAAACTAAGATCATGACTACTCATGATCTTACAAGAATAGTAGACAGTGGAATATTTTATGTAATATCTAGCTTTCGCCCGCGACTCCGTCCACGAGGAATTAAAAACAAAAGTAGTCTATGTGTTCTTCCAGACTGTCCTCTACATCTATGCCAAATTTCATCCAGATCCGTTCAACCGTTTAGGCTACAAATTCTAAAAAACATCCATCCATCCATCCATCTAAACTTTCACATTTATAATATTAGTAAGATTTTATGTATGTATTATATGTGATACGATGTATTCGATGCTTGAAGCGTGTGTCTTGTACCTGTGCGAGCACGTCGCGGTCCAGCTGCACGACGATGACGGAGCTATCCCCGGCTATCACTGGAGGAGGTACTGGTAGTCGAGAAGGAATCAAAGGAGTCGAAGTCAGATCCACTATAGGAAAAGGTGCTGCGTGCGGCCTCGCCCTCCGCGCTGCCCCCGCCC